AGCGAATTGCTAATGGTAAGTTTACCCCACTAGGGTAAACTTTACCCGGCGGTAAACTGAAACAAACAAAGCACTCTGATTGGTCAATTCGGGTAAAAAGTTACCCCCATCTGGTAAATGTTTTTAGTGCATATTGTTTTTCATAAGGGCACAATGTTTTAGACATGTGTTTATAGAAAATAGTGGCAACTTCTTTGGTTAATTCTAATATACATAATGCCCTTTAGTTGATGCATTTTCAGGTGACTTTTCCAGTAAATGCATGTTAAAGTTTTAATTACAACCATAAATAAGAACACTCCCTTCTGGACAAATGAAGATGCATTGCTATAATTTTGTTGACCAGCATTCAGAAATTTCACATCTTACTAAGCAGTCTGCATGAATGTTTAGAGAAATTGAACACCCCTTAAAATTTTAAGGCATGGGGAGTCCTTTTCCACATCACTTTGAGTTGTTTTTCTTCCAAGGGGGGTACTTCCTAGTAATGCACTACTTGATGACCCCGTATTTTCAAGACTGGATTAACTATTTTGAATGCATTTGCATTTCAAGGAAGTTATTACACTGGGGTCACATTTTTAGGGGGGGATTATTGGGGCAAGGAGATTTGGATAAGTGTAGATTCGTGATTTAAAAGTTGTCACCACTGGGATCATTATAAATTTACTTTAGTGCCTAAAAAAATCAAAGTGCTACCGCCGCATGGCTGTATTTGTTTCTCTTGTTTGTTTTCTCGTTTGTAAGTGCATTTTTCCCCTCATTATCACATTCTTTGTCCCTTTTTCTCACTTTTATGTAATCAAAATTCCGTTAGGTATTTTCGCATAATTTGGTCTCATTAAGGCCTTTTTTGCATGCGTTTTTGTTCAGTTGACTTGTGCTTTGCCATTGCTACATTTCATTTATCCAGTCCGCTTACCATCTTCTCCATTTTTTATTTTCGTGTTCCTAGCCGTCCTAGTCATACAACGTTTCTACCACTCGCTTTGCTTCGCTTTTCGCTCATATTGTACATTTCGAGAAATTGATGAAACAACATGTAGCGTGTTGGATGTTTGACTACAATACTAAGAAGTGGTCAATAATTGGCCACAGAATTTACTATGATGGGGTAGGGATTCTGAGAGGCCATTGACACATACCCAGCAAAAATTAACACACTGGGACTAATCAATTGGGCTAAACTGGAGAATACCGTGCCACTCATTTACATGTCATTGAATAAGAATAGCCTCTATTGTGTTATCTTTGTTCTTCACAATAGAGGCTATTCTTATTCAGTGACATGTAAATGAGTGGCAGGGTATTCTGCAGTTTAATCATTGTACAAAAGAAAGTTACTATGAATTGGTAGGTGAATCAAAAAACCTGTATCTTTAATATTGTCTCACATCCAATGCATCAGAAGATATAACCTTTGCTGGTACTTAAATACTTTTTCACCAATACCCCAGTCATGTTGTGAGTGCCTACGATTTAATAAATATCTTTCCCCTAGGCCATAATGTCAAACAGTCCCCCCTCCTCCCTCACTTTCGTCAACAGAGGGGAAACAAGGAAACTCGTTCCTGTTGCAACTTTGTTTATAACTTTTTAAGCTTCAACTACAACGGAATCAAGGCAGAACACTAACGGCCTCTATCAATTAAGCAGCCACTTTTCCTCCTTAAGTTAAGAATTTAAAAGGGCCCAGGCGCTTATTCGAGGAAACATGCCAAAAGGCACGTTCTCTACTACAACCTCATCACCCCGAGGGGACCCGTGTGGGGCTCATACATCTCTTTTTGAACTTACGTTTTGTCAGAAGAATGAATGTTGACACAAAGCAAAGCAATTCTTCTCCAAATGGAAACATCCTTCGCCACACGACACAGATTCCTGCTTACACAAGACAACGCCGACAGGCTTCTTGTATCACAGAAACGTAAAATGGCCAAGAGCACATCGTCTGGCAACGTGTTCAAATTTATGATGCATTTGGCCTCGCTCTGGTTCGACGGCATTGAAGAAAATCAACGACGAACTACAAGAAACCAACCCCTTTTCAAACAAAGACTTCGCTGTATTTCTCATGCTAAAGAAAGTAAAGATCTGTTAGAGTAGACTGTACAACTTCTGCATCGAGTGTACGCTAATACTTTGTGCTTCACAACCATAACACTAGTTCCCAGTTTCTCGCACGTTTTTTCTAATACATCCCAGGATTCCTTGAAATGTCGCTTATTCCTTGTGACTGCTAGCTGCCCTATGGTCCTCCATTCCATTACTCCCTTGCAATATTGGTCGACTACAAAACGAGAACAATTGGAGATCGTAAGCTCAGTATAAATCCATAGTATGATAAGGCCAAATCGTACAATCCAGAAATACACATACCGGCAGAATTTAGGGGTTGTCACATTCTTCCCGAGTAGGCCAGGACTCGATTAACAGTTATTAGTATGTACTAAAACAGTGGATAGCGTTGAAGGCGCGCTCTGATTGGCTAGTCAAACTCCGAATATCCTTTCCTATTTACCTCCGAGCAACTCGTGAAAAGATGGCGTCCCGGTTTGCATCCGTGACAAGCGAAGAAATCACTCAAATTAACGACGGTGGTGTATATTATCTCACTGTTTTAGTATATACTAAAACAACTATTCACCTCAGTGTCGATGGTTAGCGGTGGATATTTACCTCGCCGCTTCGCGGCTCGATAAATATCCACCACTAACCACCTCCACTTTGGTGAATAGTTGCCAACTATGATATGGTTCATCAAATTAAAGAGAGAACGCTGAAAAGTGTATCATCGTGCCTTCTTTTTTTTTTTTTTTTTTTTTTTTTACAAACTAAGAAATCTGGACCCAGAGGCTCTAGCGCTACCACAGAAAATGTCTTTTTTATAGAAATTTCCAGGCAGTGCTTTTGGTAGCAGAGTCGATTCTTAACGAAAACTAGAGTTCACAAATAGAGCACTGGGGCCTGATGTATAGGAAAATAATATGACAACAGTCCGTTACCTGTTCCTTTAAGCATTGACTGATCATGACGATATACAACGCAAACTGAACTCTTTGACGTCAGTCTATGTAAACTTAAAACTACATTTATTCAGTTATTGACAGTTATTAGGAGTAATTGAATTTCTTACACTTCAGTCCAACATTACAGTTTAGTAAAATAATTTTACACATAATGCAGTAAAAAGGTTTTTTTCAGTAGTTGTTTTTTACCAAGCTCAGTTCTTATGAGGTGTTTAAATGTCTGAAAAGTATATGCCATAATAAATAAAACCTTTTACGAGTTTTCCACCAAGACAATCGTTGTACCCTAAGAAAAGAATCTGACAGAATATTGATATAATAGTCTAACTCAAAATATGATGGCAAGGCCACATTAATTTCTTCTTATTGATGGTCGTGATTTCTGAATTATGGATTAGGAATCATTGCTAAGTTCCTCATGATCAGTGATATACAATAATCCTCCTCTGATATGGCCAGTTTTGTGCAAGGTCATGGGTAAGGCCACTAGAGGATACAGTGGCCAGCTACTAAAACTCTCTGCAACAATAGGCTTCTCTGGGTTGCCCTTACACATCAAATGACTAAATACACCTTATTGCTCATCTTACTTTGGCCCTAAGTACCGCAACGCTTATAAAATAGACCATTTTTGGCAAAAAACAAAAAAAAAAAAAAAAACCAACACCCCACAAAAAGTAATTTCAGCCCTGGGCATGGATTCTGAAAAATAATTTATTCATATCCTTGCATCAACTAAATCAGCTTCAGCTCCTTGAGGGGGACTGTGAAATCTCACTATGGCATGTTTAAGGTTGTACAAGAAAGACTTGGACACACTTCAACCCTTTACACCCTCACATCAGTATGCATATTCTCCATACTGTTCTTTATGCATTTCTTAAGGTGCTGACAAGGAGAATTTGTTTAACAATCAAGAACTTCTTCAGTTGGTGATCATTTCCTTTATTCTTGTGACCTTAATGTTTGATTAACAGGTGGTATTGTGAGGAGAAATTGGATGATTATTTATTTTTGAGCCATTGTTAAGGGTCAAGGGGTTAACAACAATAATATTTAGCACCTCCTATCTACACATCTCCTGAGACAGATGGTCTCTGATAAAAAGAAGCTCTTACAAAAGGTTTTCAGCTGTACTCATCTACTGTATTTAAGTAATAATATCAGAGATGATCTGATTACTAATTTAAAAATATCTAATAAATCTGTTTATACATTCACTTGCTGCATCATAACTTCACACCACAGCAGGCCATCCTTCCTTGTCGCAAAGGTTCTGTCAACTCTAGAGTTTGAGCTTCACCCTCTTCTGTTAGAGCAGAGCAAAAGATACAGTTATAAGGGAAAATAGCCACCACAGAGTGAATTGAAAAAAGATGATGAAGAGAAGCCTCCAAAGAGTCAGGCTGCAGTCTAAGACGCTCTGGCAAAGTGCTATCAGCAACACAACCCATCCTGGGATTGGTCTAATCTCATCATGTGATCGAATATGCTCCTGCTAATACTGGGGAATATTCAAGGATATACCACAAGTGATACTCCCCAGTTTTCAAACTCTACATCCACTTGGATAAAAGTCTTCATTTAAAATTTAACTCAAGATGAAAGGATGTTAAGCTATTTTACAGAAGGGACATGTTTTTTTGTACAATGTCATACATGAGAACATGGAAAAGCAAGCATCCCATATAACAAATAGTAAGCTGTTTGTTGACATCATTTTTTCCAATGCATTGCAAAAATATCTGAAGGATTACACAATAGCTTCCATTTAGCATGAAAATATGGTTCCCTCTCAGAAAACTGTTCTCATCTTGAAACAAATAAAGTCTGGGGACAAATATCCATACACATTTTAGCCCCAAATGAAGGTTATTGTTTATATAACATTTTCTATAATCTTACTTGGTGTATGTATGTAGGCAAAGAGCTAAGGTAACTGTACTGTAAGGGGAAAGCAACCTAGATTTTAGAGACTTCTGGCCAGATTTGTGCTCCCATGATTGTAAACAAACACATTAAAAAATGTGTTTTTTCCATAATCAAAGGGGGCAATTATATAGTGTATTAGGGATCCTTTTTCAATCATCTTGTAGTTTTGTCCCTCACTCCGTTACTGCACTTATGACAGCCAGCTATGCAGGCAAGAAAAAGTCATGCTTTTACTTAAAAAGTGAATATCTATAGTTATTTTTCCCTTACTAAAAATTAATTGAATTTTGAGGGTGTCAATTAAGGCAATGAGGGCTCATTAACATACTAAATAAAGACAGAATTCCAAATGCCTAATCTTCAATTCATCATGGGGACTAGGAACTTTTCTTCATCCCATGCTCATGAGAAGATGAAAAAACATTTTTTTTCTTCATACAGCACTATTATTACCACCAATTTGCAGTTAACTCCATGTCATTTAGCTATCTAGGGGCTCTAACCATATCAGGATGATTACTGGTATGTAACAGCTACACATTAATTTCATTTGATATTAATTACATCAGGGCGCGTGGAGTGGATTTTCAAGTGGGGGGCTAATGCGAACGCGTTAGTGTGAGCCAACTAGGGGGGGTCCAGGGGCATGTTCCCCTGGGAAAATTTGAAATTTAAGTCTTCTGAAATGGCTAGAAATGGATCTAAAACTGACAAAAGTGAAGTTAATTTTTGATTCTTATAAAACAATGAGTAACAAACTGGCCTTCACATTTGACCAAATTTAAATGAATAGACCAACTTCTGAGTAAAAAAATAGTGATTTAAACAGCCAAAAAAGTGGGAGGGGGGCTGAAGCCCCCCCAGCCCCACCCCCTGCACGGTCCCTGTACATGTCTGTGAGCATTGTTTAGCACAAAAAATTTGTTGTACATCAAGAGTACTTACCAACTGCTGACTCTTCTCTTGAATAGTCCTGGGCAAGTTCAAAGAACAGCTCCTCTGCAAAGAGAAGACCAAAACAAGCATTCACTTTGTCACAACGCCAAGTTTTTTGGAAACAGAAAAAAAGTTGTGCTTACATCTTAGAAGAATAATTTTGTCTGTATACTTTTATCATCAACCCTTTACATAATCATATGTTATTTTCCTTGGTGAGAGGACCATATCATTTTATGGGAGAAAACTGTGTCTGAGGCCTTCAGCTTTCTCCCATACAAACCAACTTAGAGTGGTAAATAACTTACTTATTTTCATCTGCTAGTTTGCTGTTTCTGCTTTACAGCAGGCCAAGGTCAATTATATAAATACTTCACCAGAAGTTTAAAAGGGTCAGTGGCCAGAGAAGAAAATCGAATGACAAATATCTAAGGAAGGAGGGACCTTGAGGAGTTTGAATTTCAGGAGAAATCCTAGGTATTTCTGAAAAAACAGTAGAGAAATTAAATAACTAACCCAGCCTTTAACTGACCTATGAGTGACCAAGAAATACTTTCTCAATACATTATCACTATAATTTCAAGCAGTCATTGTGGTGAGAATAAAGTTAAATTTAAATTAGGGAATTATTAGTTGACACAAAATCAAATACTCCATACTGACATCATCAGAATTGTATGGCAGAATTGCAAGGAGAATTGTTTGTGAGATCTAGAAGTGAAAGGCAAGGTGAACTCCACCAACTGAGCAACTTCATTAGGTACATACCAACATTGTGGCCAGTTTTGCTTGAGGTTTCAAATACTTTAGCATTTATTTCTAGAAGAAAAGTAAAGAACTATTTAACCTTGATATTGATATAAAGGGCAGAAATAGACTGAGCTACAATATGTGCAACAATGTTCCGGTAAAATGACTACATACCCTCAGCATAATCTGTTGCAGAATGGTAATCAACTTGCCGTAGTTTTTTGTCATTTTGAACCATGTCATACTTGGTGCCACACAAATATATTCTGCAACCCTGCAAATAAGAAGATTTCATTTCAAGAACTTAAGGCTTTCTACAAGTAGAAAGGATTGAGTCATATAATGTAAAAATTTACATATCTCTGAGTGAAGTGCCTTCCCCAAGAACACAAAAGTTTCTCTCTATCCTTTCCCAATTCCCCAAAGGGATTGGACTTACCACTGTCAGCATGCTAACCATAAGGTCACCTCATGACTATCAGAATAAACACCACAGCATACACCATCCAGTTATGGATGCACCCAGGAGGTTGCTTAGCATGAAAGAACCCTGAGAATCACTCGAGGCAATGGTCAAGAGTGACTCTAGCTTCTTGAGAAACTCTAGAAAGTAGAGAGTGAGTTCAGGCCAAACATGTTGGGACAACTTTTAGATTTCTTGTCCCTCTCACATTTGGTACATGCATACAATATACTTGATGTCATGCTCTAACAATTTCATATGCTGTCCCCTTTATATCAAATCAGGACAGCACTGATGCAAAAGCAATCACCAAATGTATGCTAAACATGTATTTAATTAAAAACATGATTAACAATACTTACATCTTCATAGGTTTTTAGCTCATTTACCCAGTACTTGGCTCGTTCAAAACTAGACTTGTCTGTGAGATCTGCAAAGAAAGAAGAATTCAAAGCCCTGTGGTTAACTCAAGTATTTAAACATATGTAGCCTTTCAATTAACACCAAACATTGAATAAAAGAAACTGCCCTCAGTTTTTTAGATCCTTGCATCAGTATCTATATTTTTAATACTCTTCTCAACTCATTTTCTTTGGTACTGACAAGGAGAATTTGGTAAACAATCAAAGCTTTTTAAGTTGGCGATAATTTCAGGGCTCAAAATTAATGGTAACCCGTTAACCAATGGTTAGTAATTTTCAACACTTGGTTACTAAAATGTGTCCAACTAACCCGACATGGTTAGTAAAACTTTCTTGCATATTTAAAATAATTATGTCATGGAAATAACCTTTATACAAATAAATAATGTTTTAGGGACGGTTTGTGTTATTTACTTGCATTAGCTTGTTTTCTGTCTCAAACAATTTGTTGTTGCTGTCTTTGAGATCGAATCGAGCTTTACAGCCATTTTGAGCACTGAGGCCCTGGATGCAAATTTGTGTTGAATGTGGAAATCTGGACACAACTATGTCGGATCTGCCGTATTCACTTTGAAATTAGGGACCTTAGGCAGTCAGGACAGCAATGCTAAGGAAGACGTTGATTAAAATTTAAAATGAATTTCAACTTTTAATAAAAATTTTGAAAATGGCTGCTTGTGTTTACCATCTCATACAGCGCCCCAACTCAGCCTCGACATAATGTATAAAAGTAGCATTGAGTTCCAAATGGGAATTTAAATAATTTGCCATCATGGTTTCGGTTCACAGACGACGCAAATTTTGGTGATTTTCACGTTGTTGTTTTGCAAGGGACGGCTAAGAAATGTAATAAGTTTTAAAATGCACGTGCTGAGCTATTGTTCTGCCAATTAGATCTTTTGTTTTTCCATGGCCTCGTTGCCATTGCCGTTGTGGTTTGCTTAAGGTCCCTAGTATTGTTCCTGAGGTTCTAGCAGTTCAGCATTGAATTATGCAGAGTTCTTTAATCATGGTAAACAAGAAGGAAATAAAATAGGTGCACAATTGTCAACTTTTTTTAAGGTTACCATGCGATTTCGGCTACCCTTTAATTGTCCTAGTCGTTATTAACAAAATGTTCAACATTTGAGATATTGTAACTTGTGATCTTGGATACCAAACTTTATAATTTGGTTAGTAAAAAAGATGTCTACTAACCCAAAGGGTTAGTGATCCAAAAATTAAATTCGAGCCCTGCATTTCCTTTATTTTCATGATCTCAGTGAACAATTCAACATAATCATTGTAGGGAGAAATTAGATGGTGATCTCCCTCAGGGTTAAATGGGTTTAAGGTTCTTATGGGTCCTTACCATAACATAACACAGCAGCTTTAGCTCCGCGATAGTAAATCCTACTCATAGCCTCGTACCGCTCCGAACCAGCAGTATCCTGAAAACAGCAAATTAATTTATTAGAACCTATAAATCTGAAATTTGATCAATAAAATTGTAAATTTATCAAACCTACTTAAACGCCTTGATATGAACTTCCAAAGTCTTGTTGGGCAGATTAAAACTTCTGTCCAGTGACTTATTTTTTTCACTGACTGCATTTTAAGATGCCATACTTTCAAAACAATGTTTTGGTCATTATAAGTTTTGATCTTTCTATCTAAACAGTCACATTCAAAGGTTACTCTACAGTCACTCTGATCTATTAACCATTTAACTCTTAAGATCTGATTGTTAATTCTTCAGTTGAGCTGCTACACATTTTCTTGTACATTAGTTCAAGAATTTGGCATTAGATCAAGGTAACAACTTCTAGCTGATAAGTTTGAACATTCTCATTGCCTGTTTGCTGGATAATGTTTGGGTAATAAAATTAATGGGAGAAGTTACATGTTAATCACTTCTGGGAGTTCAAGGATTTAGGGGAAAAAAATTTACTTCACAATACTTAAGGCTGACACATTCTATTAAAAGAACATTTATTAGAGTTCCACAGATGTCAGCTCATATGGGTTTGACTGTTGATAATTTTTCATAACATAACAAGCTGAATTATTCAATACACTTTGAATTATGATCTTTTTGGAACATGTATTTTTAATATTCAAACAAATAGAATCCACGTTGCCATGTACATGTTCAATAAACAATCACAGATGCACCTCCCATGCCACTCTTGTTTTTACTACATTTTGACATCCTCTGGGATCTATCAGACAAGTGGACAGCTGCATGAAAAAATGGAATCTACTTGTTAAATAAATGACTCACCCATATTCCTAAAGTAACACATTTGTTGGCCACAGTGACTTTCTTGGCACCAAAAGCTGCTCCTATAGTCTGATGTAAAAGAAAAAATTATGGTAGTTATGATCGAGGTGTTTCTTAAAAATTGCTATGATGATAAACTTATCGCAATCTGAATAAAATGAATGAATAAATAATAAATAAACAAATAGAAATTAAAAATCTGTGCTCTGATTCTTCTAAAGAGGCAAGGGCCCACTTCAATCAAACAAGTTCATTTAGCATTCAATTTAACTACTTTATAACATGCAAATGAAAAGTAAATTCCTTAGAAACAGAATCTACATTTTTTCAGGTTTCCTTTCTAAAGTGCCTGAAATTGCAGCTCACCTGCAAGGATTATCGCTTTACTTGATTACATGATACACAAATGTCAAATCAATAATATTGTCCTAAGATTTATGTCACCAAAAATTGTAGAGTCAAGCTGTCAATATCAATTCACCATGACAACATTTTGACTGTAAAACTGCTAAGTCTTAATCAGCACATGCAGCATTTAATAAGTTAAGAAATATTTTGTGTCATGAACAAAAAATTGCTAATGTGGAACTTTCTGCTTTCAAAAATGTTCACAGGTGAGACATCTATAAATCTGTGATCTGATTTAATTTAGCATCAAAACCAACCCTAAAATACACATCATTATGCAAACCAATCAGTTACTGTCAAGAAAAAAAAAATGAAATAGAAAGAAGAGAGAACTTGAGATCAACAAATAGAACGAATGATGTCAGACTGCAGCTGCAATATTTTTAATTAATTTTCTCTCTTATTTATAGTTAGGGCATGTGTAATCTTAAGAATGTCACATATCAAAGTTCATATACATAACAGAGAGCATGCATATGCCAACAGCTACATTTCTTCCACATCTTTCCTCCCTCCATAAATATCCACAGTAAGACATTCCTGACTAACTCTCACTAAAATTCCCAGCAAACTACAGACAGGAAACCATACATATCTGTCTCCATCTTTGTTATCATTTTGCTTCTGGAAAGCGATACCCAGCTACCTTTGTCAAAATGGATGGGTAAAAATTTTCGCTCTTTAAATTATCCCTTCAGTTAGGCTAGAAGCGAATCTTTACCTTTGCACAACACAAGTATTGTATTATTCTTTTGATAATTGGCTTCAGTCCACTTTGAATAACAGTCTGTCTAATTTGTAGACAATAGAGAAAATGACCAATGATGATTTCGTAGATCGGTCATGTTAAGGTACAACTACTTCACTTGACTAGAATCACGAGATAGGGATGGACTTATTTACACTCTTTAAATCTTAGGAGAATCTTACATTCTGGTATGGGACATTATCGTTGAATCTGTGGTGTAAATATCTTTCAACTAAGCTGGTTTTTCCACTGTATTCTTTTCCCAGAAGCACAACTTTCGCATCTACTTTGGACCCCATTTGACCTCGGGTATCTCAGCAACGCATGGCATATATACTTCCCGGTGGGTTTCTCTGATGTGTTGTTACAAGACAGAGAATAACGACGCTCGGACAACGTCCTATTGCTACCTCCCTTGTTGTAATTTCTGTCACATCATCCGTGAAATAAATCCGTATCGAAGAAATTGAATGCGAAGAGACTGGAAAAGACAACGACAACGCAGACGCCTGATCAAATTTGTTCCTCATCGCACAAATACTTGGCACTGTATCCATTCATCTTCGTTCATCGGGACGTATTATGCGAATATTTTACGACGTTCTTACATTACCGTGGTCAATTTCTTGCCTGATACAACTATTAATTTGTTTTTCCATTATTTCAAGTCCCTGTTTTCCATCTAATATTACACAAATGGCCTTAGTTCCGTACGACCCCTCATCAATCGTCTTATCTTCTTTCCAAGCCAAAGAAAGGAGCTTCGAATTTGCGGGAAGAACTTTGACTGTCTTCCAAAATTGGGATAAAATTGGCGTTGCAGCGGTCGTTTGGGATGCAGCAATTGTCCTTGGGCGATATTTAGAGAAGAAAGCCCCAGAACTTCAAGGAAAGAAAGTAATCGAGCTCGGAGCTGGGACGGGTGTTGCAGGAATTGTAGCAAGTTTCCTAGGGGGCAAAGTGACCATAACAGATCGTAAAATGGCTATAAATATTACGAGAATGAACGTCGAGGGAAATTTAGGTGACAACCAGAGGACTGTTGAGATAAAAGAACTAGAATGGGGACAAAATGTGACATCGTTTTCACCACCTTTCGAATATATTTTAGGTGCAGACATAGTTTACATCGAAGAGACTTTTCCTGCTCTTTTGAAAACTCTTCTAGACCTTTGTGACGGAAATTCTGTGGTCTTACTGTCATGTAAAATACGTTATGACAGAGATGTGCGGTTTTTAGAACTTCTGTCGAAACACTTTCATTATAAAATTGTTCTATATGATGAGGAATTAGACATAAAGGTTTATAAAGCCAGAAAGATCAGCTGAATAACGTTGTAACTTCAAAAATCTCAACAAGAATCTTTAGTGGTACTGGATTCAATTTGGGATGAGCATCTGTTCAAACTTAAGCCAAAGTCAGAACTATATACCCCACTCCATATTTTGCAGAATGGTGTGCATTTGAAAGGTGAAACGTTGGAATGAAAATTTCATCAGCTTTTGCATAAATAAATAATAGTAAATGTCATTTCACTGACTTATTTAACCTGATTTTAGATAGGTATGTTTTTGTCTGACTTGACCCTTTGACTCTTAAGATCTGATGGTTAATTCTCCTCTTTGACTACTACACATTTCCTTGTAAGTAAGTTACAAGAATTTGTTTTTAGATCAAGACATTTTGCCCAATAAGTTTGAGTATATTCTCATTACCTGTTTGTGGATATTTTACTGATATATTGAAGGGAGAAGGTACATGTTAATCACTTCAAGGAGTTAAAGGTTAGCTCAAATGTCTCTCAGTATGGTTTTGATTTGTGTTGCTCTAGTTTGACCCATTCAGTGTCAAATACTATAGCACCATTTTGATTTTTGTCACTTTATAATCTCCTGACAATTCTGAGAAAAAAAAGAAACAATTATGGGTACATTGATAAACAAAAAACAACAAATATTAACCTCACTTCCTGAATTCACCCAAATTTTCATAGTATTAAACACTAAGGATATAAATTAACAGTAGCACTCCATGTCACAAAGACTGGCCCTGATTTCTAGGCTTGGAAAAGGAACTTGCAGTAAAAGAAAACAGTGTAAGGGTATAAATGGCACATCTGAAAATTAAATACAAGCTGCAGCCGAGGAAGTGAAGCAAACACATTCAGTCTGTTAAATGCCTTGAGAATTTAAAAGAATATGTCAATACAGAGTTTGCAGACAGTCAAGATAACCATTAAGTTTCTCTTTAATGAGAGTTTTCCTCTTGGGATCTCAGCATCAACTGTATTCATCAATATAAGCCTTAACACTCTTACATCAGAGTGAATGGTATCCTACCCTGGCTCCAGAGGTTTCTCTTTTTCTCTCCTTCTTCTCCCTGTTTACAATCCTTTTGGCCAATCTTGCTGCTTCGCAGCCTGAAAGGATTGTAAATAGGGAGAAAAAGAGAAACCTCTGGAGCCAGGGTAAAGGTATCCAAACTGTTCTCTCTACAATTTCTAAGAAGCTGACAGGGAGAATTTGTTTAATAGTCAAGAGCTTAAGGTTGATGATCATTTCCTTTATACATGTGACTTTAATGTACAATCCAGTGGTGATATTGTAAGGAGAAAGTGATGTTAGTCACCCTTAATGGTATAAGGCCTAAAGGAAAAGTAAGGATTTTCACCAGGGAGGTGGAGTGGTCAGTGTTATAATTCTCTGTTCACATTTTGTAAAGTAGCTGTTCCTGTGTATCAATAGAATTACTTTCATGGGGTAAGAAAGACTGACAAATGGAGTATCTAACACTAGAGAATATTCATGCCAAGTGGATTTGGGATTCATGTATTTATCTAAAACTAAATCATAACATCTGTTTGTTATCAAGTTGGAAAAGAAATATTCTGACAAAGTTAAGGAGAGGAAGGGATCACAGGGACCCCAGGAATACCCTTCTCAGCTACACCTACGAGTTTTTCATTTGTTTACTATTTATAATAGCTTTCACATTTCACAACATAAAAGTGTCACTGACTCATAGCAGTGCTCTTTTTTTACTTGTAATCACTGAAAGACACTTCCATCCTAGATTCTGCATTGGAACAAACTTATGCAATGAGGAAATCTCAATCAAATAATTGCTAAGTAGCAATAAGTTTGGACTTGCACAATACAGCGTAATTCAGGCTAAAGTAGCATTCATTTTATAAAAGTGAGCCTGAGTCAATTCTAGTAAATGACACAGGTCTCAGCCTGTCATCTTGTAATGACACACACATCAAGCATGCAAAATTTTGCACGGCATGTTGGGCAAGGAGAGGTACTGGCCAGCCATCTTTCTGGCTCATGTTGGTTCTGACGACTGGCAAACCATTTTCCCATGCAGTCTAAACACCACATTGGCCTGCAATAACAAGGGACACATTCTCCTTCTCCAGACAAGGCACACATCTTTTGTAGTTTAATGTTTGCTGGATGTTGCATGCAACCGATGCAAGGCTCTGGTTCCTTTGGGGTAAAACAAGAGAGTACTCTGTCAGCTATAACAGAAATATTACGAATATGCATTTTCCAACATGACTTTAAAGTTTAAAATAATGTTATCAGGGAAACATTGTACACTACATCACTGAATGAAAAGATTATATCCCAGTAATGTTTTCAAAATCGGAGAAAGGTAAAAGTTAGACACAGCTGAGCATAAACAACAGTTGGTACCTTAAGGCTTACTAAAAGGTATATTAAAATTTGTACTCACTGGCCTTTTTATCATGCTACTTTGTTGTTTAAATTTTATAACAGCACAAAGGGACAGATTAGTCCTTTTTTCTGAGAAAAACTGGATTTCAACAAACAAATGAATGCAGTTTCAAACTGACCTCTTCTTCTTCATCTAACTGGTACACTTCATTTTGGGACACTTGCTCCTTGAAGGCTTCAAGAAACTTATCACTGAGTGACTGATGTATCACAACATTTCTGGCATTCCTGATTGGGGCTTGTAGCTTCTCTCTAAGGTCACCATAATCTGTAGAATTGAGCCTGATTACAAAGGGTTTAACACCCGGAGTTATACTGGACACTCTGATATTCAAGAATTGCACAGCAACGTTACTCTCATGAGAAATGTCATGGTCCTCCGCATGAATGATTGACAAATGAACATCAGGTTGATGTGCAATGTGGACTTTATAGGCTGCGCATTTCACTATCCAAGAATCTGTGATGTAAAGACTTGTTCCACCAATGATGGATGAGAATTTAGTGATGCGACGGAACTCTATATTCACACTAGATGCAACAGCTCGCCAAGGAGTGCCATGTTTTACTAAAAGCTTTGCAAATGGATGGTTTGACCTGCAAAAATTCAGACAGAAAGTTTTTATAAAAAAGCACCAATTATACAACACATCTCTGTAGTTGGCAGCACCGAATGCATAAATGGGGTAGCAAGTTTCTAAAGAAACTGTGGTGTTGCATCAGTGGGGTAGTATAACAGGGTAATTTTGGTGTTATTAATTGAGTTGATAAACTAAATAAATGTAAATTGGTCACTGTAAAGCTTTTAAAAGCTGACATTTTGAGCATGAGCCCTTGTTTTTCCCTCCCATGTTCTTATAACTAATTCCTGCAAGTTATACACCGAATACAAATATGGCATCCAATTTGAATTGCCATTATTCTGAATTGCCATTATTCTGAACTGACTAGCCTCTCACACATGTAATAATCCTCTTGTCTTTCCACGAGAAGACGAGGCTAGTCAGTCCAGAACAATGGCAATTCAAATTGGAAGCCATATTTGCATTTGGTGTATAGTCTGCAATACAATTCTTAGGATATCAGTTTAGAGAAATTGGCATTGGATCAACTTATAATCCCCTTTAGTATAATTTCAGAGCTGAGCAAAGAGTTTCCAGCAATCTGATTGGTCTAGTGGTTCCTTAA